TCACTCTCCATTTCTTCAGACACACAGAGAGGGCACAAACATCGAGGAACGTTCCAAAATCCAAATGTCAAACTACACATCAAACCCCCAAATCTAGTCGTCAATTCCCCATTTTACCCCCATTCTTAACTTCCCTTTTCATTCCACCATAACTCAATATTGGTTTCTTATTCTAAAAGAAATCTTATGTGTGTGCACATTAAATTACTTAGGTATATAATTCTATGCTTTTCTTAATTACTGTTTTAAAATTTTCGATTAAGAAATTAATATTATTATATTATTCCTTGAACAGAGTTAAGGTACTTTTTAATGCACTATTGTAAAAAGGTACTAAATTATACTTAAATATAATTTTAGATTCCATACACCATACCACAGTTAAAGTAACAATAAAAATATTTCAGATTAAATTTTAATTAAAATTTGCAAACAGCATTGCTTGATTTCCACCATTTTTTTAACTTTATAATTCTTGAATAATTCTCCAATTACACAATCGGCTCAATTCATAACATTAGTGCACAAATTCAAATAGCAAGCACTATTCATCCAATTACAGTAACTTAATTAGCAGTCTTCTGGTAAAAGTTTTTCACGGGAGAGAGATTATCGATAAGCATGATTTTGAATGATTACTAAAAAAATAATGGAAAAGACAAGAATTTTCCTCCAAAATCTTAACCACTTATAAATGTGCATTTTTTCAACTTAAGTATAAAGCTTATAAATAGAAACTGTTATATGGTCTTGCGTAGAGAAATTATATATAAGAAATGCATGACTTATCAATTTGAAATAATAAAAGAAAAATCTACACATGATTGATTCCGATTACATTTGTACGGTAATAGTGACAGGGATGTAAGAAAAGTGAGAATATTATATAATATCATAGATTAAGTTAACTGCAGGCAACACGTATTCAATGTGAATCGATTCAATTGATCATTTGCTAAAAATATGATATTAATGTTGAGTATAGGAAAGATTTACCGTACAGAAAAGGAATGTGTAGTGCAGTTCTCTTGGAGCGTGGATTAATCAGAAGACACTGATTATAATGCCCATAAAATAAATTAAACAGTACGTGAGGGCAAGGTTATTAAGTTATTTTTTCAATCACGTAAATTGCATACACTGATTCAGTTTACTTTACTATCAAATTATATCCAAAAGTTTAGTGCGCATGGGTTTTCCTTTTTTCAGTTTTTTCTTATCGGCTTTCGTTTTTGTTCTTTGATTTAACTTGTTCAACTTTTATTCTTATGCATGTATATCTCGACAGTTTACTTGATTCTCCATTATCTTATTCGTTGGTGCATGGGGTAGTTGTAATTTTTAATTTTTAAACTAAAATATCCTTAACTAAAATGTGGATAAGTTGTTTTTTTTTTAACTTCTTTTTTCATATTTGCCCAACAAAAACTAATTTGTCTTTTTTTTTTTTTAGAGAAGTAACTTCGCATATATTATTATTATAATAAAACCAGTCTTTTAGAACTTTTTATTAATAATAAATTATTATATTATTAAATAATAATCATTATTTTAAAATTCAGACCTAAATTACTATCTAATTAAATAATGGTGTAAAAGTTCCACCATCAATATATTAAAATAAAACTCTATATATTGTTGTAACTAGGAAATCTTTCTCACAATTTGGTTTTTGTAAGATGGAATTTTGATGATGCCCTAAAAAGATGATTCTCCCAATAGAATGGATGGGGTTCTTATATATTTAGTATGTGATCCAACTTTAACAATAAGCTAATTTAATCCATAAATAAATATGAAGCAATGTTGGGGTTGAGTGAGTGGGTGCCTAACTTCTTCTTCGATTGAATCACACCCTACTTTCTCATTCCTTCCTTATTATAAACAGTTATTAGTGTACTCAAAATTATGTCAACGCCATTATATGCTAAATTCCTTGTCTAACCACTTGCCCCTTTTCCCACACTACTGCAAGGATAGCATGTGAAAAGTAAAATTACTTATATCACATTTTTTGTCAAAATTACTTGTATTACATTAATTAGTAATGTCAAATGTGAAATTATAAAAACAATAAAGATAAAAATTATAGAATAAAAGGTATTAATAAATTTAATTATTCAGTTAAATAAATTTGTATGATTAAATTAAAAAATTATTTTTTAATAATTATAAATTAATAAGTAAATATTACACTTCAATCAAAGATTTATATACCTAAAAGAAAACTAATAATAATAACATCATAAATAATAGACTGGTTAAGGAAATCAAAGAAAAAAAATTGAATTCAGTGCATCATTATTAATGTAAGATTTGCACCTTCATAAGATGATAATAATAATAATAATAATAATAAAAATAAAAATAAAAATAAAAATAAATAAATAAATAAATAAAAAATAATAAATGAATCAAATAATGATTTCTTACTTTGACAATACTTTTAGTTATCAAAATATTAATTTTTTATAATGTGTATAATATTTTAAATTAAATTTATGGATAGCAGTATTATATTTTTAAAAGGGATGGTTTTAGCTTTTTATGTAAATTATATGTTTAATATTTAATGGAATATTTATTGACTAAAGAACAAGATACGAAATTTGGTTGAAAATAAATAAATTTGAAAAATTAATTTTATTGATTTTATAACATATTTTCAATTATATAGATATAATATATTTAAAATAGAAAAAACAATCATATGACTTTTTTTTTTTTTACTAACATGATGTACTTCTTTAACAATATTTTTAATTTTTTGTTATTGAATTTATTTATGATTACTTTCATGTTTAATTTATTTATATTTATAGAAAGAAAGATATAAGTTAACATTTTGTATTTATTGATTGTTAATTAGTCTTTTTTATTTATATCACTGACACAGTACTAAATTTATTAAAATTAATAAAAAATAGTTATATGTAATAAAATTAAACTTTATTTTAGTAATATCTATAATATTAATTAGTATTTTATATATTAAATAAATAAATATGTTCCTCATATTAATAAACGGTGACTACCTTAATAATATAAATATTACAATAAATAAAGATGTATAAAAATAATTAATACATTTAAAAATAGATATTTATTTCTTATAATTTGACCCAAAAAGTATATTGACATTTGTTTCTTAAAGAAAAAAGACCGAATGTAACACACCTTCAAACTAATTTAAATCTATTGCATTTCGTAATTTTTCATTACTTCAGTGATACTAATACTAATACTAATAATAATTTCATTTTGCGATTCTTGTTTGTCTAAAATTTTCTTTAAAAGAATGAACATATTTAAAATAAGAATATAAAATAATATATATATATATATATATATATATATATAGAGAGAGAGAGAGAGAGAGAGAGTTTTAAATTCTAATAGATTCTAAAAGAGTAAAAATCGTTAATGTTTGGTATATTATTAATTTGTTGATAAAAATTTAAAAATATTAACATCCATTTTTATTAAGCTTTTATTAATAAAGTATTATTCATTATATTAAAAATATAAAAAAATAAATATGATTATTTTTAATAAAAATAAATAATATTTTTATGTTCTTAAATTTAATTCTAAAACTGATATTAATTGTTAATAAAATCAATAGAAGTTTAATAAGATCCTCCAAATATAGAAAAGAAAAGAATGCGGTGGTAACAGGTAACATCAGACTCCAGAACAAATATATTCTTTAGTTCTTTGTTACAATTATGGAAATGGAGATATTATTGTTTAAATATACTAATAATGTTAACATTTTTTTATACTATTATTCAATCATAAATTATCACATAACTAAAAACTATTAATTTTTGTATTAATTACTTTTTAATTACTTGACTTTATCAAAAATTTATATTAACAATACATGATATATCAAAATTAAACTGCATATTTATAGTAAGAATAAAATTTCTTATACATATAAAGGAATATAAAATTTTTCAAATTTAATTTTTAAGATAATAATTGATTCAATATTTAATTAATTAGCTATATTATATATATATATATATATATATATATATATATTCATAAACACAACATTTGATTCACTAATTGAAATATTCATATAATATTATTAAAATAATTCAAAACATAAAATGTTTTAAGCACGGAAAGTATACAAACATTCAAAGTTGGTTGATTAAGATAATAATCAGTTCAATGATTAATTATATTCTGTAATTAATTATATAAAAGTTGGATAAAAACTTTTTTTTTTAAAAAAAAGATAATAAATTTTTGTTATCTTAACCAAGACAAAAGGAAAACTCTAAACAATGAAACGCCAATTGCAATAATAATTAAATGTGAAAGATAACGTTTTCAAGTAACGTGTGTTCTATGACACATTTAAAAAAATATTAATGATAAATAATTTAAATTATTTTTTTATTTTTAACTGTTTGATATATATTCTTAACCACACAGTACAGTATAAAACAAGATATTGAACAATATTTAAAATCGCGTAAAAAGAGTATATAAAATTTATACATTCGTACTATTAAATATTATAATTATAAGAAAACTATTACAATATTGATTGATTTATTTTCCTATTGTATACTATCCTTTTGCACAGTGTAAAAGAAGGGAAAATAATTTTAAAAATAGGAGAGGAGGGCAATTGAGTAATTTGAATAAGCGATGGAGTAAATCCAAATGTCACAAGAAGCATAACGAGCCAATTCCAAAAAAACCAAACGGGCAATGATATATAAAAAGGGACATGAGAAAAACAGAGATCCCAGATTGGCACGTTAACGTTGCCACTCCCCACGCCCTTAGATATCGGTCCCTCAAACCAAAACAGCCACTCCCAAACCTTCAACCCACACCTCCCCCCCCCCCCCCCCCCCCAAACCGCACCCTCATAAACATAAAAAATTTAAATAACTAAAATCAATTAACAACAACACCACCACCATTTAATTTTCCGTTTCATAATCCGTCGTCGTTTTGGCACCGGCCCCACCATGTCCTCCGGCGGCCCCACCACCACCTCTTCAAATACCAGCCCAAGGGTCGCCGCGGGGCCCACCACCACGCGACGGCGCGTGCCCGACAACAACATCGTCGACGCCGAGAAACAGCAACAGCAGCAGCAGCAAGTCTCCTCGAGCTTCTCCGATTTCTCGGAGGTAGAACAAGAAAGCACCGCCACGAACACCCTCCACCACCACGCGCACCATCACCACCTCCACCCCGTCATGCGCTATCTCCTGCACCGCACCCGCATCCTCTTCTGTGTGCCCGAGTCCTTCTTTCTCCGCGTGGAACACCTCTTCATCTGGCTCGCCGGTTCGGTTCAGTGGCTCCGGTCCGGTAAGAACGTGGGCCGAAAGATCATCGCGGCCCTTATTGCCATGTTGGTTATGTCGGTTTTCCTTAAGATGTCTCTTCTCGGTGGTGGCGTTGAGATGAACGGAAAGAGCATCGAGAATGGCCAGTTGATCTTGCAACGCTTCAAAGAGGATTGGGCCTCGGCCCAAAGAGTCGTCACCGAAACCGAAACGGAAACCTCCATGCCCAAACGGGTTCTCGAGAGGTTGGCTGTAAGTGACTCCCCAAACACGTTTCTTCAAAAACCGCTTTTTCCATCTTCTGTTTCCTTCTCCGCATTGCTCTTTAAAATTCCTTTTCGTGAATCCAGATTTTTTTAACCCCTTTCTGCCTTTTTTTTTGGGTAAAAAAAGTAAATAGAATAAGTTTCGGGAGTGAAAAGGTTAAATGTTGTTAAAGTGCAATTTTGTTTTTCCTAAGACTGGTTAAATTGTTTTTCGTTCCAGTTATTTTTTATTTATTTTGTTGATTTTGTTTTCTGGGATGAGGTGAGCTTAGTTGCTAAAACAAAAAATTAAATTAGATTGTGCACTTACTTCATCGTTAAATTAAATTTATTGGTAAAGGTGTAGTGCGAGGATCATTTGATTAATTTAGAGTACTAACTTATTTTCAATGTTATTTTGAATTTTGATTAATTAAAAATCATAAAAGGTTTATATTTGTTGTAACTTTGAAATGTCTAGAATGGTGGGAATTTGAATGCTTTTTGGATATTTTGACTAATTGCTGGCAATTGGCAACACATGTACGGTGTTCAATGTTGGGTACTGGGACGGTGGCTCTGACCATGGCACACAGTAGTACTTTTCGTGATTTCTGTTATTTGCCACGCGATTCGTTTGTTTTTGTTTTTTTATTTCTTTGATGCTTGATGTGGGATACCAACCAAAGTTACATGGGCATTGAATTGTTTAAATTCAATGCGTTTAAATTGCTTTAACTGCTAAAGTAAAGTTGAGGATTATTTAACCATTGGAGTTTTGGTACTTACAACAATCTTATCGTGTAATATTTATTTGTTTTTTTCCTTTTTGCAATAGACTCCAGAAATATGGTTGAAACCAAACAGTGACAATTATTACCAGTGCGTTTCTCGACCCAGGAATGCAATAAGTATGTGTAATAGCACTTGATTCCAGTCTACCTTCGCCTACGCTTAATCAATTTTTGTCTGACTCATTATTCCGCATTTATTTCTTTCAGGGACAAAGTCAAAGACAAATGGGTATCTTCTTGTTCATGCCAATGGTGGGTTAAATCAAATGAGAACTGGGGTAAGATAAAATGAAATATACGAATTTCGTTTTTCAGTTTCCTAAATGTTTTTTCAATTTGCTAATTCTTGGAATCTTTTATTGTCTTGCAGATATGTGATATGGTTGCAGTGGCAAAAATAATGAATGCCACCCTTGTCCTTCCTTCTCTTGACCATGATTCATTTTGGACCGATCCAAGGTGATATTCCCTTTTAATAAGTGTGTGAAAGTGTAACATTAATTTATCTCCTCATGTCACCATTTTTCCAAAATATAATGTCCCTAATATATTTCAGTGACTTTAAAGATATTTTTGACTGGAGGCACTTCATGAAAGTTTTGAAAGAGGACGTAGACATAGTCGAGTATTTACCGGTCCAGTATGCATCCATAAAACCTCTTGTAAAGGCACCAGTTTCCTGGTCAAAGGTGTGGAGCATTATATAATTCTATGTGACAACATTGAAACAACTCTATTCTCTCCTAGTACTATAGGTGCTTAGATGTTTCATTTGCAGGCTAGTTACTACAGAGGTGAGATTCTTCACTTGTTGAAGCGACACAAGGTGATACAATTCACTCACACAGATTCCCGGCTCGCAAACAATGGCCTTGCTTCCTCTATTCAGAAGCTTAGGTGTCGCGCCAACTATCAAGCTCTCAGGTATACAGGAGAAATTGAAGAGCTTGGAAGGACTTTGGTGGATAGGCTAAGAAACAATAATGAACCATATATTGCCCTTCATTTGAGGTATTGTCTTGTAGACTCAACTCTTTTTTTTCTGATATATAAACTGTTATAACATGATAATTTTCTTATGTTATGTTATTTATTTACAATATAGATATGAGAAGGACATGCTAGCTTTTACTGGCTGCAGTCACAATCTCACTGCTGAGGAGGCTGAGGAACTAAGGGTTATGAGGTATGAAGTGAAGCATTGGAAGGAAAAAGAGATTGATAGTGTAGATAGAAGATTGCAAGGGGGGTGCCCTATGTCACCTAGAGAGGCAGCTATTTTTCTCAAGGCCATGGGTTACCCTTCCACTACAACAATGTACATTGTTGCAGGAACTATCTATGGTAGCAATAGTATGGCGGCTTTTCGCTTGGAGTACCCTAATGTCTTTACTCACTCCACTCTTGCAACTGAGGAGGAGCTAGAGCCCTTCAAGCCATACCAAAACCGTCTCGCTGCTTTGGATTATATAGTGGCCCTTGAAAGTGATGCATTTGTGTATACTTATGATGGAAACATGGCCAAAGCAGTGCAGGGTCATAGGAGGTTTGAAGGATTTCGGAAAACCATTAATCCTGACAGGTTAGTCATTAGGTCACAAACTATAAATCACAAGAAGATTTTTTCTTTGCATTTGGATCCTTTTATGTTAGTAAGTAACATGATAGTGTACGTTATGGGAAAAAGACAAGCAAAATTAATGGAGCTTGCACATATAACAAAAGACATATCTGAGGTACAGTTCCTTAGGTACTTTTATTACTATTTTTTAATCAAAATTAGAATTTTACCTTGGTAACCTACAGGATAAAAGTCAGCATTTTAGGCTGGCATAAGTTTTCAAAATCAAATTCTAATTTTAATAAAAAAATAATACCAAAAGCACTTGAGGATCTCACTTTAAGTTTTGTCCTTGTTTTAATCATTCTCCTCTCATAAAAATTGTACATGTTACTGACATGTAATATGTTTCATTTGTTTTCAGATTGAATTTCGTTAGGCTGATTGATCAATTGGATGAGGGTTCAATATCATGGGAAGCATTTTCTTCTGAAGTGAAGAATTTGCATTCCAACCGGCTAGGTGCACCTTATCCAAGACTGGTGGGAGACTCACCAAGAACAGAGGAAAACTTTTTTGCTAATCCCTTTCCTGGTTGTGTGTGTAACAAGTCTCAGGAGCTAATTACAAGCCGGAAACTACACCAACGATTTGGTGTTGGAGTACAAAGATAGTTTCTTGGTTTTGTTATATATACATTTTTTTAGGCTTAAGCTGTGAGGTTTCATCATGCATTTATGGCACAGCCTTAAAGTTAAGGGTAGCTCATTCGGGTTGTGGTGAGAATGTGCTTCCTGTGGTCCAGCCTGGTTGATGAGGCTGTTGAAGAATCAATGAGGCCCTTGTGGGGTCTCATTTCATTCAAACTTTTTGAGTTTCAGTTTAGGCATACAAAAGGGAAAGAATAGAAAAGGTTTGTGTATAATATCAAAAGGCATAATACAGGTTAGATTTTATACTGGGGAGATTGGCATTGGATGTGAGAGTTACACTGTTAAAACCCATTTGATTCATTGATTCTTTTTTGAAGGATTGCCAAATGGAGCATGATTTCAATTTTGATTTGAACAATTGATACATAGGAATCTAGCTTCATACGTTTGCAATAGATAACTTGTTTATATTTATGTAGTACCCGGTCTGCTTTCAATTGCAGACTACGAGTGTAAAAACTGATAAATTTAGTTAATTTAATATTATTTTTAATGTTATTCATTATCTTGTGCTATTATGAAATGAAATCCGGGTGCAATTTGTTGGAGACTGCTAATAAATCTCCCTCATAATGTTTATGCTACTCTGTTTCAAGAGATTTGAGTAATTTAGTTTAATAAAACGTTTTCTATTTTTATCTTTTATTAATTATAAAATTGCCACATTTTTTCTTGTTTTAAAAATAGTTGTGCAGGGAACACCGGAAACATTTTTCTACTTTCACTATTAAACGAAAAATATGATAATTTTATAATTAATAATGAAAAATATAAACAAAAAAAACCTTTTTTTTAACACTAAACAACCCCTTATCTATTTGTAATCGAAAATAATAAGATCTCAGAACGCAATTCAAAGATTAAGCTCAACGTGGTTTTACATTTTATGTGTTGTTATTTCTACTTATTTATTGTCAACGTTTGAAAACTCGAGCGTTATGCACTACAGGCTGATTTGGGTAGCTAGTACAGTCAAACTTTATTCGTTATAATTTACATAAATATTCATATCATACAATGCATGAGTAAATTATTAAATGTATTTTAAAAAATATAAATAGTTCAGATTTTCTACTTGTAAGTTAATAATATTAATTTTTATATATTTATTATTTAGTTCTTTATAAAAATTTTATACAATTACTCTATGAACATTTAAAACTTGTATTTTATAGTTTTAAAAACTATTATCCTTTTTAAGTTGCATCACTTGTATGTACAATGATTTTAAGAAAGTATATATTAAGATATATTGATCTAGTTTTAATTTATAATAAAAAAATAATTTTTAAATTAATAAAATATTGAATATCATTATTATGTATGAAGTTAATGATTTTTAAAATTAAAACTTTCACATCCACTCTTATTCATAATCTCAATTTATCATGAAATTAAATTATTCAATATCCTTTTAGATCTTATTCATGCCTTTTTTGCGCAATGATCACTTTAATGTCGTATAATTTCTGTAATTTTTGCTTAAGCTATTTTTTTTAGCTTAAACAAAAATTATAAGAGAAAAATTACTCACTAAAATTATTTTACTTAAGCTACATAAGATATTATAATATTAACTTAAGCGAAATTATATTAGCTTAAGCAAATTTTAACGAAATTTTTTAGTTCATTATTGTCTATAATTCACTTAAGCAAATAATGTATGACATAAGCAAAAATTACAGCGAATAAATTTCATGCATTTTTTAATTGTTCAACTGCATCTCTTTAATCATTATCTATATTCTAATTATACTAAAGTATTAATTTTTAAGATAATTGGAATGAAGATACGATATTTTTAAATTTAATTAAACTTACAAATATTATAATTCAAAGTATGGAAATACAAATAGAGTATGGTTATTTAGGTTTAGGGTAGATTTAAGAAACAAATTTGCAAGTTAGTTGATTTAAGGAGGAGTAAATAAGAAGAAATTGAATTAAGACAAGTAGTTTGAACAAATCTTTACAACAATATTTCAAGTAATGATTACTTAATTTTATTTGATCTTTTGTCTTTAATATTTCTTCTAACTTTTATCACCTAAATTTCAACTATAACTATTCAATGTATTGTCAAACTAGTTGTAGAAACACAAAAAAAAAAAAAAAAAAAAAAAATTCTTAAACTTACTTAAAAAATAAATATAAAAGTAAGTTTGAGAAAATATAATTAAAGTTTATGTAAATAAATAATTATATTTTTAAAAGATAGTTACGTTAATTTTTTTTAAAAGACGTATTTTAAATAACTAAAAGATTGAGATCTTAAATCTATAAAATTTATCAAAGGTTAAATTATATATATTTTAATTTTTAAAACTTGTTATAATATATCATTCTACTTATTTATTTATAAGTCATAAACTACACTAACTCATTGTAACTTTTATTTAAAATTTATCATAAAATATAAAATGTCAACATTTTAATAAATTTTATTAAAAATATTAAAATAAGTTAAAAAATTATAAAAAATAATTTTTTCATAAAATTAAATAGTTTTTTTTTTATAAATTCTTATTAATATCTCTTAAATATATTTGGAGTGTGATAAAGTAAAAGATTATCTATCAGATTATTTTAGTTACTAGTTACTTTTCATTCGCTGGTACCAAGGATGTTTACAAACCCATCTAACTAAACGCAAATCACAAAAAAATGAATTGAATAAGTAAAAAAAATTACAAATTTTATTTTTTATTGAATTATATTAATTTTCAATTCAAATTTAAAAATAAGTTTAATTGAATTTAGTGATAATATTTTTTTATATAAAAATAACGAAGTTGAACAGTAAAATCATACAAAGATCGTTAAAATTCAAAGTTAACTATAATCACATAATTAATTTTGAAAGACGCATGACTTTTTCATAAAAATATTACATAATTTCATATTTTAATTTAACTATTTATAATAAAATTTAACAATTAAACTTTGTTTTTCTCATTTTTATATAAAAAATATTTTTATTTGACAGGTTCTTTATATATTTATATCAACCATTATATTATAATTATATATTATCTTAATTATTTATTAAATTTTGTTCAAATTGAACAATTATAAAAACACAATAATTTTTTTATATTTCGATATATATATATATATATATATATAAATTTTGAGGTATAGAACAATGAAACGTATATAGTAAAAAAAAAAATCTTTCTATACAAAAGTTGAAAACATAAATTTGAATAATAAAATTATATATGAATTGTCATGACTATAAGATATGAAAAATCATGTGAAATGATCATTCATATAACATATGTTTTAATCCTAACTATTCATTACAAAATGTAATGATTAAAATTTATTCATTTCTTCAAAACCTGCTTTTTCCATCTTTTGTTTCCTTCTCCGCATTGTAATGATAATTTATTTATTTTTATTTTGTTGATTTTGTTTTCTTGGATGAGGTGAGCTTAGTTGCTAGAACAAAAAATAAAATAAAATCGTGCACTTACTTCATCTTTAAATTAAATTTATTGGTAAAGGCGTAGTGTGAGGATAATTTGATTAATTTAGAGTAGTAACTTATTTTCAATGTTATTTTGAATTTTGATTAATTAACAAATACTTCATTATTCACAAAAATCTTACCCAAAGAAAGAAGTTTTTCTATCTCATATCCCTTCTCTAAAATTGACAATTTTTTTTAGCCGCTATCAAATCTATCTTAAAAACTTGATAAAATAATATTTTGAATGTCTTGTGTTATTATTACAGAGGGATTTAATTTCTTCTATAAATTTTGTAAATAAATTTATTTTTTTAGTGATATTATCTTTTATTTACTAAATTAATCTAAAAAATTCATGTCCTATTTATTGCTATTGAAATTGTAAGAGATAATCGAAAGAGTAAATGAAAAGGAAAATCATCTCATGCCACCTTTACTTGCTACTTTTCTTTTCAATGTAGTCCTTGAACTTAATTTTTAGATTTCGACATTGAAATGTTAGTTACTTAACATTTTGTACAAAAAGAAAAAAAAAAGTTAATACATAGAATTACGTATTTTATATGTCAAAATAATCAGTGGCATTTTAAACATATGTTTACATAAGTATTTGTAAATTTAATTTATAATTCTTTTATGGATGAAGAAAAAAAGGAATCAATTACATAACAGAAAAAATAACTAAATTATCCCTCATACGGGCCTTTTAGAAATCTAAAGATGGAGGAGGAGATTCCAAATCTAGAGTCTGAAATTGAATCAACTCTCAAGCTCATCTTAGCGAAGTCATCTTCAGTGTTTACCCATGAACATGCTTAAGCTAACTACTCAAAACTTTTATAATAACAATATTCAATACCAATTTTTCATGTGTTAAAGTTTACAAGCAAATATGATATGAGCAACTAAATTACATCAATGGAGAGAATTCAAAGCAAATTGTGTTGCATCAAACAAATTATTCATATTAGATGTAAATAAGTAAATTATCTATTTTAGCACATCAATAAAAAAAATTTAAAAGATAAACTAGAATCCACTTTTGAATTATAAGGCATAAAGGAATTATTTATTAATATTACTGCAAAAAAAAATAAAAATTCTGTTAACCTTAATCCTTAAAACTAAGGATAAACAGTTAATAATAGTAAAATTTTATTTAAAAAAATATTTATTGTAATTTTATAACTTTAATACAATAACTGTGTATTTTTTTATAAATTTTTTTATTTATAGATATTTAAACACAGTCTTAGAGGCTGAGATTAACAAAACTCTAAAAATAAATAAGAGTCTTTATCATGTTTTTGTTAAATAAAAAATAATTAATAGATATTATTTCATGGGATAGTAGCACTTAATTTATAATTTTATTTGGTCATTTTATATTATTATAAAAAAATAAGTTATTGTTAATTCATCTTTAAGAAAATTTAAATACTAATTAATAGTTTTAATATTAACCCTTTTAACACCAATTCTATTAAAATGTAAACAAAATAAACTCTATAATGTGTCGGACTATAATTTTTAAATTACGATTTAACCTACAGACAATTTTTTTTCACTTTTATTCAAACCATAATTTAAAATCCAAAACATATTTATGTGTAACTCAATTATAATTTGCCCAACATATTAGATGCATCTAAACTATAGTCCGAGTAGTTTGACTGTTGTAAAGGGGTGACATGAAAAAGATTATATACTTCACTTTATGTTTTTTTTATATATTTTAGAGGAAATAATTTTA